CCTACTTGTCCATATTCCTTGTTTTTACTGAATATGGACAAGTAGGCCTGAGTTCTGATCCACCATAATGTACATTGTTTTTACTCAATTTATGTTGTTTGTTTTTACTGAATATGGACAAGTAGGCCTGAGTTCTGATCCACCATAATTTGTTGATGGTGGATCAGAACTCAGCTGTTGTTTGTTTTTACTGAATATGGACAAGTAGGCCTGAGTTCTGATCCACCATAATTTGTTGTTTGTTTTTACTGAATATGGACAAGTAGGCCTGAGTTTTGATCCACTGTAATGTGGACAATTGGGGTCTGAGTTATGATGCTTAGCTTATCTGTTCTTTTGCTGTGAAGTCTTCATCTTGAAACTTTAGAAGTGTCTTCCAAGATATTAAATTATGCCCAAGTTCAGCACTAAAGTTAGAAAATCTGTCTATGAATATATGGTGATAAGCTTTGTCATCTCAAAAGAAATGGGTGAATTTTTATTTAGCAAGTGTTTCTGAAATTTACCATCTAAACATTTATTTCAGTACAGTACAGAGTAAAATATAATGTAAAGTAACATGAGTTATATTAATTCTTCAAAAAATTAGCTAAAAAACTAAATTTCTGAGAAAATCTATGAATATAGAAGATTATTAACAAATTAGTCATTTTCGTAACTAAGAAATTATTATAATAATTTTAACATAAATATTTTTATTTGGAATGAAACGTGCTCTTTAGTCACTGTTTGCCTGTTTTATAGGACGTCTTGCTGCCAAAGTAGCCAGGAAAGATTCTTTAGAAATAAAATTGTCCCAGCGACCTGACCGCCAGGAACTTATCAATAAAAACATCATTCATTCTCAGACAGAGCAAGAAAGACTTGATGTATGGGAAGCTGTGGGAAACCATCTCACACGGTATATCTTATCATGACAATTGAAATATATCTTTTATACTTTCTCATTTTCCTCCTCTCATCGGAATACGTGCTTTGCACTTTCTAAAATACTGGGTTTTTTTTTCCACATGTGATGTAGTACTTCTTTCTCATCCCATCTTTTTCTATAAATCTGAAATAAATAATTAATTGTCCATACCATTTAACATAATATATTTATTTTCCCATAACGTGTAACATATTTTCAAATGATCTAACATTCTATGTTCCTTCTATAACATGTAACATACTTTCAAACAAACTAAGAGTCTGTATTTCTTCTTGTATAGTGTACATCTTTCATCATACATGTGACTTAACTGTTTTTCATGATGTCCACTTTTTTTCGAGGTGGTTTCTCTGTGGCTGGTTGAAGTATGGAATCATTTTGCATGCCTTAGCATTAGTAGAGTTTTTCATAATACCTACTGTTTATTTTTGGTTACTTTATTTTTGGTTGAAACATACATAAGATGTCCTAGCTTTTTCTCATAGTGTCTGGCAATATAAGTTACTCATAAAATTTCTCTTAGCTTGTACTTGGGGTCAATGAGAGTTGCTTTAATAATAATATCACATAAATGAGCAACGTACATAACATATGAGCTGTTTGTTATATTATTGATATATTAAAACATATTTTTGTATCTTTACGATATTGAATAGATAGCTTTATATTCATAGATATTTTGCAGTATTTTCTTTAGCTGGTAGATATATAACCTTGGAAGTTACAGCTTCTAATGTCATTCAGTTGCTCAGATATCTTTCGTGTAATAAGTATTTATTTACGCGATCTTTTCCCTGCTACTTGTGTTTAAAACTCATTTTTCTGTTGAGCTCAAACAGTGAATGGTTGATATATTGTGTTACAGGTTTCTTTTCAACGTGACTGTGTGTTCCTAGTAGATTGTTGCATACATTTTAAATATACCAAAACTTTTTGTTGTAATGACAAGTTTTTATCTTTTAAAATATGAAACAGAATCATATTAAGTAGAAACCCTGCTCTAGCAGCTACTGAAGTATATGTATTTATCATGTTTGAATACCAAGAACGGGCTCTTTCTGTGTGGGAACTACCAGCAATATGGTTAATTGTTTCAGCCTTATTCATAGCTCTTGGCTTGTTTCTCCAACAACCTATTATATCACTTTCTGTGCTTAATTATTGCAGAGTGATTAAATGCTAAAGTTTTTATTACTATGATCTGGGAGAATACACAGGCTCAAAAGACAAAGAAAACAATACAAAAGTTCTAGGGTTAGACAGTTTTGTATTTTTATAATTATTACTTAACCTACTTATAAATGATCTGTTGTTACAAAAATTTGACATACTGTTTTTTTCCTCTCAGTATCTGACCTAACATTTTTCCTCATATTGCTTCACCTACTTTTCCTTTTCTAGTAACGCTTCACATACTGTTCCATTTCTAGTAATATTTAATTTACTGTTTCTTTCTGTATAATGTTTGAAATACTCTAACTTTCTCCATAACACTTGACAAACTTTTACATAAAATCTTCACATACTCTTTCTTTTGATTATCTTCATAATTCTGAACATCTTATTTTTTTCTCTTAACATTATAGTTCTAGACATACTGTTCTTTTCTTCTTAACATCTTCATAATGTTTGATATACTGTTCCATTCTGTATAACATTTTCATAAAATCTTAACATAGTGTTTATTTTGACTGTCTTCATAATGCTTGATATGCTATTTCTTTTATCTTAACAATGTCATAATTCTTGACATACTTTTGCTTTTCATCTTCATAATTCTTGATATACTGTTCCTTTCCTCACTACATCTTCTTAATGTTTGACATACTGTTCCTTTCCTCACTTCATCTTCTTAATGTTTGGCATACTGTTCCTTTCCTCACTTCATCTTAATGTTTGACATACTGTTCCTTTCCTCACTACATGGAAAAGTATGTCAAGAATTATGACATTGTTAAGATAAAAGAAATAGCATATCAAGCATTATGAAGACAGTCAAAAGAAACACCATGCCAAGATTTTATGAAAATGTCATAAAGAATGGAACAGTATATCAAACATTAGAAAGACATAATGAGGAAAGGAACAGTACGTCAAACATGATAAAATTTCCTTATTACGTCTTCATAATTCTTGACATACTGTTCCTTTCCTCACTACATCTTCTTAATGTTTGACATACTGTTCCTTTCCTCACTACATCTTAATGTTTGACATACTGTTCCTTTCCTCACTATGTTTGTATCATGTTTGACGTACTGTTCCTTTCCTCATTATGTCTCTCTAATGTTTGATATACTGTTCCATTCTGTATGACATTTTCATAAAATCTTGACATACTGTTCCTTTCCTCACTACATCTTCTTAATGTTTGACATACAGTTCCTTTCCTCACTTCATCTTAATGTTTGACATACTGTTCCTTTCTTCATTGTGTCTTTCTAATGTTTGATATATTGTTCCTTTCCTCATTATGTCTTCATAATGTTTGATATACTGTTCCATTCTTTATGACATTTTCATAAAATCTTGACATAGTGTTTCTTTTGACTGTCTTCATAATGCTTGATATGCTATTTCTTTTATCTTAACAATGTCATAATTCTTGACATACCATTCCTTTCATCACTACATCTTCATAATGTTTGACATAGTGTTCCTTTCCTCATTACATCTTTATAATGTTTGACATACTGTTCCTTTCCTCATTACGTCTTTATAATGTTT